ACTGTGCTTTACCATACATCCAATATTCTTCCAGCTATCAACAGACTGTGCTTTACCATACATCCAGTATTCTTCCAGCTATCAACAGACTGTGCTTTACCATACATCCAATATTCTTCCAGCTATCAACAGACTGTGCTTTACCATACATCCAATATTCTTCCAGCTATCAACAGACTACTTTACCATACATCCAATATTCTTCCAGCTATCAACAGACTGTGCTTTACCATACATCCAGTATTCTTCCAGCTATCAACAGACTGTGCTTTACCATACATCCAATATTCTTCCAGCTATCAACAGACTGTGCTTTACCATACATCCAGTATTCTTCCAGCTATCAACAGACTGTGCTTTACCATACATCCAATATTCTTCCAGCAATCAACAGACTACTTTACCATACATCCAGTATTCTTCCAGCAATCAACAGGCTGTGCTTTACCATACATCCAATATTCTTCCAGCTATCAACAGGCTGTGCTTTACCATACATCCAGTATTCTTCCAGCAATCAACAGACTACTTTACCATACATCCAATATTCTTCCAGCTATCAACAGACTGTGCTTTACCATACATCCAGTATTCTTCCAGCAATCAACAGACTACTTTACCATACATCCAATATTCTTCCAGCAATCAACAGACTACTTTACCATACATCCAATATTCTTCCAGCAATCAACAGACTACTTTACCATACATCCAGTATTCTTCCAGCAATCAACAGACTGTGCTTTACCATACATCCAATATTCTTCCAGCTATCAACAGACTACTTTACCATACGTTCAATATTCTTCCAGCAATCAACAGACTACTTTACCATACATCCAATATTCTTCCAGCTATCAACAGGCTGTGCTTTACCATACATCCAATATTCTTCCAGCTATCAACAGACTGTGCTTTACCATACATCCAATATTCTTCCAGCCATCAACAGACTATGCTTTACCATGCATCCAATATTCTTCCAGCAATCAACAGACTGTGCTTTACCATACATCCAATATTCTTCCAGCAATCAACAGACTATGCTTTACCATGCATCCAATATTCTTCCAGCAATCAACAGACTGTGCTTTACCATACATCCAATATTCTTCCAGCAATCAACAGACTATGCTTTACCATACATCCAATATTCTTCCAGCTATCAACAGACTACTTTACCATACGTTCAATATTCTTCCAGCTATCAACAGACTGTGCTTTACCATACATCCAATATTCTTCCAGCTATCAACAGACTGTGCTTTACCATACATCCAATATTCTTCCAGCAATCAACAGACTATGCTTTACCATACATCCAATATTCTTCCAGCAATCAACAGACTATGCTTTACCATACATCCAATATTCTTCCAGCTATCAACAGACTACTTTACCATACGTTCAATATTCTTCCAGCTATCAACAGACTGTGCTTTACCATACATCCAATATTCTTCCAGCTATCAACAGACTGTGCTTTACCATACATCCAATATTCTTCCAGCTATCAACAGACTACTTTACCATACGTTCTGGGCCAAAGGGCGAAAGCTCATGCGCCGCTGGATCGATAACAACAACAACAACAACCATACGTTCAATATTCTTCCAGCTATCAACAGACTGTGCTTTACCATACATCCAATATTCTTCCAGCTATCAACAGACTGTGCTTTACCATACATCCAATATTCTTCCAGCAATCAACAGACTATGCTTTACCATACATCCAATATTCTTCCAGCTTTCAACAGACTACTTTACCATACGTTCAATATTCTTCCAGCAATCAACAGACTACTTTACCATACATCCAATATTCTTCCAGCTATCAACAGGCTGTGCTTTACCATACATCCAATATTCTTCCAGCTATCAACAGACTGTGCTTTACCATACATCCAATATTCTTCCAGCAATCAACAGACTACTTTACCATACATCCAATATTCTTCCAGCTATCAACAGACTATGCTTTACCATGCATCCAATATTCTTCCAGCAATCAACAGACTGTGCTTTACCATACATCCAGTATTCTTCCAGCTATCAACAGGCTGTGCTTTACCATACATCCAATATTCTTCCAGCTATCAACAGGCTGTGCTTTACCATACATCCAATATTCTTCCAGCTATCAACAGACTGTGCTTTACCATACATCCAATATTCTTCCAGCAATCAACAGACTATGCTTTACCATGCATCCAATATTCTTCCAGCAATCAACAGACTGTGCTTTACCATACATCCAATATTCTTCCAGCAATCAACAGGCTGTGCTTTACCATACATCCAGTATTCTTCCAGCAATCAACAGGCTGTGCTTTACCATACATCCAATATTCTTCCAGCTATCAACAGGCTGTGCTTTACCATACATCCAATATTCTTCCAGCTATCAACAGACTGTGCTTTACCATACATCCAATATTCTTCCAGCAATCAACAGACTATGCTTTACCATGCATCCAATATTCTTCCAGCAATCAACAGACTGTGCTTTACCATACATCCAGTATTCTTCCAGCTATCAACAGACTGTGCTTTACCATACATCCAATATTCTTCCAGCAATCAACAGGCTGTGCTTTACCATACATCCAGTATTCTTCCAGCAATCAACAGGCTGTGCTTTACCATACATCCAATATTCTTCCAGCTATCAACAGGCTGTGCTTTACCATACATCCAATATTCTTCCAGCTATCAACAGACTGTGCTTTACCATACATCCAATATTCTTCCAGCTATCAACAGACTACTTTACCATACGTTCAATATTCTTCCAGCAATCAACAGACTACTTTACCATACATCCAATATTCTTCCAGCTATCAACAGACTGTGCTTTACCATACATCCAATATTCTTCCAGCAATCAACAGACTACTTTACCATACATCCAATATTCTTCCAGCCATCAACAGACTGTGCTTTACCATACATCCAATATTCTTCCAGCTATCAACAGGCTGTGCTTTACCATACATCCAATATTCTTCCAGCTATCAACAGGCTACTTTATTTTAGAAACTTTGTCAACTCTTGGAAATCCAGACAGAAATTTAAATGTGGAAAATATAGTCAGAAAGATGAAACAAATATGTGCCATTACGAAAGCAAGGCAAAAATAATCGAAAGGGAATCTAGTCAGAAACTAAAAGCTAAGCTATGAGAATTTCATGTGAATCTACAAGCTAAGCTATGATGATTTCATGTGAATCTACAAGCTAAGCTATGATGATTTCATGTGAATCTACAAGCTAAGCTATGAGAATTTCATGTGAATCTGCAAGCTAAGCTATGATGATTTCATGTGAATCTACAAGCTAAGCTATGATGATTTCATGTGAATCTACAAGCTAAGCTATGAGGATTTCATGTGAATCTACAAGCTAAGCTATGAGGATTTCATGTGAATCTGCAAGCTAAGCTATGAGAATTTCATGTGAATCTGCAAGCTAAGCTATGATGATTTCATGTGAATCTACAAGCTAAGCTATGATGATTTCATGTGAATCTACAAGCTAAGCTATGATGATTTCATGTGAATCTACAAGCTAAGCTATGAGGATTTCATGTGAATCTGCAAGCTAAGCTATGAGAATTTCATGTGAATCTACAAGCTAAGCTATAAGGATTTCATGTGAATCTACAAGCCTAGCTCAATCCCAGAGACTCTGTAAAACTATGTTATTTTGAGGCCCTGAATGTTTATGAAGCTGCTATGTGGGTGCACTTATGAAAAAGATGTCAGGAATTTGATCACATATTCATGTGCTAATTGTTATATTTAAATTATGAGTGAAGTGGTCAGACTTTCGGAATTTATATGAAAAAAAAAATAGCACTAAGTCTTTTAATTCTTTTTATTTTTGCATCCCAAGCTGTGCAAGACTGACATTCGCAAGTGAACAGGGAAAATGGAGCTAAGGGAAATAATAAGATTAAATGAGTATGTTCCCTTGAGTGTCCATGCATTCTGATAGTGCTAGCTTGTCACCGAATCCATTCTGAGAAAATTCATCAAACTCACACGAGTGTGTAAAAAAACTGGAACAATCATTCACAGTTGAATCAAACATGGCCTGATTTCAGCTGAATAAGTGTGAACAAGGGGCTTGAAGAACCAGTGGTTAGCTGGCTTGCGGACCAGCCTACCTGGCATGGGTTTCAATCCTCATCTTGGCATAACTTTAAAACCGACCAGAGCTTATAGAAAGACCGATGTATATTTGGCATAACTTTAAAACCGACCAGAGCTTATAGAATGACCGATGTCTATTCGGCAAAACTTTAAAACTGACCAGAGCTTATAGAATGACCGATGTCTATTCGGCTTGTTACAGGTTAATTATTTTTTGTAATTTATTCATTGTGTAACACATGAAAAACTCTGACTGAATGTACTCTGCTTGTAACTTGATCTCATGCATGCAATTATTATTTTAAACAAACGTTTATGGAATAAAATGAGTTAAAAACAAACAAACATAAATATATATACGAGGACATAACAAAGAATTGATATGGTAGTTCTAAATCAGTGTCAAAATGTAGATTGTTGAAAATAAATGTTAACAGGCAGATACTTGTGAATAAATGTTACTAGGAAGCAATTTCTTCATACAAATTATACAAATATGCACAGAAAAAAGGTTAAACAAATTATTTACAAACAGAATTAGTGGGGGCTTGTGGGTAATCACTGCGGGACTGCTGCACTTCCTGTGCTCGATGGATATTTTAGCCAGAAGCTGCCTGTGAACAAGCTAACAGCTAATCCAAGAAAGAGAGAAGGAAAGAATCTAGACAGAACAACTGGTGAAACAATCAGTAAGTACAACTAATTACTGAAGCAGCAAAGAGACTAATCAACTGTGCAACATTTCTACAACACTCAGGATACAACAAGTAAAACATTCAACAAATATGAAACAATAAAAACAAGAAGTAACAAGGAAAACTAAGAACACATCTATGGCACATACCAAGTGCATCACAGAACTTCTTGGCGGGTGAGGTTCTGTCAACAGCTGTGTAGGGGTCTGGCCAAAGCTGCGGATCTGGTTCTCTATGGCCTGCGAGAATATATGTGGATGGAGTTATAGGGTGGATTACCCTCATGGCACACTTATAGGTGCTCAGTCTCAAACCATCCTCCAAACATATACATCAGCATCCAGTGATAAATACAATACTGAAGGCTTTCACAAAGAAGACAATACTTGAAACCCTTTCAACAGTTGGGTGGCTTGCTCAACCTGATGCTGAACAACGGGTGAGGAAATAACAAGAACATTGGAGGCAGTGCAGGCAGCTGTCCCGAAGACTAGAGATCACAAGCTGAGGTATTGTGAGCTGCAGCTGTCCCTAGATCATCAACCAAAACCATGAGAATACACAGAACATTGACAGGGTATAGTAGTAGGTGAAATGGAACAGAGAAATCAATCTTGTGTGGCCAAGAGAGGCAGAGGTAGATGTATGGAGGGATGTTCATCAGGCGGCTAACCAGTAACGATTCAACAGAAGTGTTTGATGACAAAGGAAGGAGAGTCTTCACTGCTGATGCTCCTTCAGGCTAGACACAAGAAGGAGGAGGAGGGGGAGATAACAGCAGTCTGAATGACTGTCTGTCTCAACAGCAAGGATCATTCCGATTTGAACGTTGTTGACATGTTTTTGTATTTAGTAACCCAACATAATATTATTTTATCAGATTACTCTGATAGTTGACTTCTGTTCTGCACACATGCACAAAAACAATATCTCTCATTTCAGCTAGTTAGATAATGTTCAGACAAAACTCTTACAGGAACAGACTTTGCAAAGACGGTCAGTGACAAGACACAATCTCAGCCATGACAAGATACAATCTCAGCCGTGACAAGACACAATCTCAGCCGTGACAAGACACAATCTCAGCTGTGACAAGATACAATCTCAGCCATGACAAGACACAATCTCAGCCGTGACAAGATACAATCTCAGCCGTGACAAGACACAATCTCAGCCGTGACAAGACACAATCTCAGCCGTGACAAGACACAATCTCAGCCGTGACAAGACACAATCTCAGCCGTGACAAGATACAATCTCAGCCCTGACAACACAGAATTTTGGGCAGGTGAACAATTAGTATACAGTATCAACAGGATGACAATGGTCCTCGTCAGGAGCAGGCCACAACTGCACACAGATCAGGCTCCCCCATTAGAGCCCAAACACCAATTCTGGACATGTTGACCTGATCATGTACTTTCTCCCTTGTCGTATTTCTGATTACCCAGAATGAAGAGCCCTTCCAACATTCAGTAAACAGTACAATTGTTAATTATGGAGTCAGATTACTACACGTTTGTGAATTCTTAACTTATAAACACCGACTCTTGTTACTGGCAGACATGACATTATATTTGTAGATATTATTTTTTTTTAAATTCCAACTTTATAAACAGACTTTGATTTTTGGTGCCTCCTTTAGCACATCAGATTAGAATAAGACACTTATAATTACTGCTATATGGAGTACTAAAACACTTATAATTACTGCTATATGGAGTACTAAAACACTTATAATTACTGCAATATGGAGTGCTAAAACACTTATAATTACTGCTATATGGAGTACTAAAACACTTATAATTACTGCTATATGTGGTACTAAAACACTTATAATTACTGCTATATGGAGTACTAAAACACTTATAATTACTGCGATATGAGTACTAAAACACTTATAATTACTGCTATATGTGGTACTAAAACACTTATAATTACTGCTATATGTGGTACTAAAACACTTATAATTACTGCTATATGTGGTACTAAAACACTTATAATTACTGCGATATGTGGTACTAAAACACTTATATTACTGCGATAGTACTAAAACACTTATAATTACTGCTATATGTGGTACTAAAACACTTATAATTACTGCGATAGTACTAAAACACTTATAATTACTGCTATATGTGGTACTAAAACACTTATAATTACTGCTATATGTGGTACTAAAACACTTATAATTACTGCTATATGTGGTACTAAAACACTTATAATTACTGCGATATGTGTACTAAAACACTTATAATTACTGCTATATGTGGTACTAAAACACTTATAATTACTGCTATATGTGGTACTAAAACACTTATAATTACTGCTATATGTGTACTAAAACACTTATATTACTGCTATATGTGGTACTAAAACACTTATAATTACTGCTATATGTGGTACTAAAACACTTATAATTACTGCTATATGTGGTACTAAAACACTTATAATTACTGCTATATGTGGTACTAAAACACTTATAATTACTGCTATATGGGGTACTAAAACACTTATAATTACTGCGATATGTGGTACTAAAACACTTATAATTACTGCTATATGTGGTACTAAAACACTTATAATTACTGCGATATGTGGTACTAAAACACTTATAATTACTGCTATATGTGGTACTAAAACACTTATAATTACTGCTATATGTGGTACTAAAACACTTATAATTACTGCTATATGTGGTACTAAAACACTTATAATTACTGCGATATGTGGTACTAAAACACTTATAATTACTGCTATATGTGGTACTAAAACACTTATAATTACTGCTATATGTGGTACTAAAACACTTATAATTACTGCTATATGTGGTACTAAAACACTTATAATTACTGCTATATGTGGTACTAAAACACTTATAATTACTGCTATATGTGGTACTAAAACACTTATAATTACTGCTATATGTGGTACTAAAACACTTATAATTACTGCTATATGTGGTACTAAAACACTTATAATTACTGCGATATGTGGTACTAAAACACTTATAATTACTGCTATATGGGGTACTAAAACACTTATAATTACTGCGATATGTGGTACTAAAACACTTATAATTACTGCTATATGTGGTACTAAAACACTTATAATTACTGCTATATGTGGTACTAAAAACACTTATAATACTGCTATATATGTGAGTACTAAAACACTTATAATTACTGCTATATGCTATATGGTACTAAAACACTTATAATTACTGCTATATGTGGTACTAAAACACTTATAATTACTGCTATATGGGTACTAAAACACTTATAATTACTGCGATATGTGGTACTAAAACACTTATAATTACTGCTATATGTGGTACTAAAACACTTATAATTACTGCTATATGTGGTACTAAAACACTTATAATTACTGCGATATGTGGTACTAAAACACTTATAATTACTGCTATATGTGGTACTAAAACACTTATAATTACTGCTATATGTGGTACTAAAACACTTATAATTTCTGCGATATGAGTACTAAAACACTTATAATTACTGCGATATGAGTACTAAAACACTTATAATTACTGCGATATGAGTACTAAAACACTTATAATTACTGCGATATGAGTACTAAAACACTTATAATTACTGCGATATGAGTACTAAAACACTTATAATTACTGCGATATGAGTACTAAAACACTTATAATTACTGCGATATGAGTACTAAAACACTTATAATTACTGCGATATGAGTACTAAAACACTTATAATTACTGCGATATGAGTACTAAAACACTTATAATTACTGCGATATGAGTACTAAAACACTTATAATTACTGCGATATGGGTACTAAGACACTTATAATTACTGCTATATGGGGTACTAAAACACTTATAATTACTGCTACATGGAGTACTAAAACACTTATAATTACTGCTATATGGGGTACTAAAACACTTATAATTACTGCTATATGGAGTACTAAAACACTTATAATTACTGCTATATGGAGTACTAAAACACTTACAATTACTGCTATATGGGGTACTAAGACACTTATAATTACTGCTATATGGGGTGCTAAGACACTTATAATTACTGCGATATGGGGTGCTAAGACACTTATAATTACTGCTATATGGGGTGCTAAGACACTTATAATTACAGCGGTATGGGTACTATGACACTTTTAATTACTGCAATATGGGGTGCTAAGACACTTATAACTACTGCTATAAGGGGTGCTAAGACACTATAATTACTGCAATATGGGTGCTAAGACACTTATAAATACTGCGATATGGTTGCTAAGACACTTTTAATTACTGCTATATGGGGTGCTAAGACACTTATAATAACTGTGACATGGGTACTAAGACACTTATAATTACTGCTATATGGGATGCTAAGACACTTATAATTACTGCTATATGGGGTGCTAAGACACTTATAATAACTGTGACATGGGTACTAAGACACTTATAATTACTGCTATATGGGGTGCTAAGACACTTATAATTACTGCTATATGGGGTGCTAAGACACTTAAAATTACTGCTATATGGGGTGCTAAGACACTTAAAACTACTGCTATTTGGGGTGCTAAGACACTTAGAATTACTGCGATATAGGTACTAAGACAGTTATAATTACTGCTAAATGGGGTGCTAAGACACTTATAATTACTGCGATATGGGGTGCTAAGACACTTATAATTACTGCGATATGGGGTGCTAAGACACTTATAATTACTGCTTTATGTGGTACTAAGACGCTTATAACTACCAAACATGTCATGAATGAGAAAATACACAGGAACTATACAAATAAGATAACCACTGCAGTACAGTGGTGTTCAGACACATATAATTAGCTGAATATGTTTTGAATAAAAAACCACATGGACTGACCTCCTTGAGGATTGGGTCGGTCATGGTCTCCAGGTTGACGCTGCCTTCGTAGGTCAGGTAGTAGAAAACATTTGTTGCTCTCACAGCTTCAGGGCCTGGAGACAGCAAGCATAACAACCTAACAAACAAGAGAACACACACACAGACATGCTCATCAATATACTAATTATTGCAGCCACTTGCTGGGCACCTGGCAAGTTCCTTCGTCTGTTTGATTTTGGCCTGGAGTTTAGTGATGATCTATTTTTTCAATGTTTCCGAGCCAGTTGGATACGGATACAGGACAACCTTTGAGAACATGTTCAGCATGGCTGGACCCAGGACAACCTTTGAGAACATGTTCAGCATGGCTGGACCCAGGACAACCTTTGAGAAAATGTTCAGCATGGCTGGACCCAGGACAACCTTTGAGAACATGTTCAGCATGGCTGGACCCAGGACAACCTTTGAGAACATGTTCAGCATGGCTGGACCCAGGACAACCTTTGAGAACATGTTCAGCATGGCTGGACCCAGGACAACTTTTGAGAACATGTTCAGCATGGCTGGACCCAGGACAACCTTTGAGAACATGTTCAGCATGGCTGGACCCAGGACAACCTTTGAGAAAATGTTCAGCATGGCTGGACCCAGGACAACCTTTGAGAAAATGTTCAGCATGGCTGGACCCAGGACAACCTTTGAGAACATGTTTAGCATGGCTGGACCCAGGACAACCTTTGAGAACATGTTCAGCATGGCTGGACCCAGGACAACCTTTGAGAAAATGTTGAACAGTTTTTAGCTGGTTGGTTCCCTTGTAGATGATGATGAAGAAAACATAACAAGCCCATGTATGTGTTTACTTGTATTGTTATGTCCTGTCCTGTCCTGAGACAAGGAGTGGTCACCTCTTCTGTCCTGAGATAGCAGCGACCATCCATCAGGAGACAAGGGGTGGTTATCTGTCCTGTCGTAAGACAAGGAATGGTCATCTGCCCCTGCTAATGAAGAGTGTAGTCTACAAGATCTCGCTGAAACCCTCAACCAACTGATACTAAGCCATTTTGAAGACTTGTTTCTGACTACTGGCAATTTGCAGCTAGTTTTCTGTTGTATCCATATCATCATATACCCGGTGCAGAAAAGCATAGGTTGTTATGTTTTACAATTTCACATGATCATCAGAATCCATGATCAGGTCAGTGTTCTTATTATCTCACCCCCTCAAAAGAGGCCACTCCTGGATGGCAAAGGCTGAGGATTTAATCTAGCAGGTATGTGACCTAGACACGATCAGTCACGCAGAAGAATGGACGAATACACCAGTAGACATGCATGGCATCTCTAAGGTTGTCATCACACTCGGAAGTTACTGCAGGGATCAAATTCCTGCGGCGGTAGACACAGAGACAGGGGAACTGATAGATTAGCATTCAGAACCAGAAGATACCATCATCTACACAGATGGATCTGTGAAGCGCGGATCAAGGTCAGCATGGGCATACACAGCGCAAAGAATGGGGGAAAAATACAGGAGGATAGCGGTGCTTACCAGACAACCACGTCAAGCATGACCATGGAAACAGCCGCTGCTTCTAGAGCTTTAACATGGGTATCCGAGCATATCACCACACAGGCAGCAATTGTATCAGACTCCATGAATATGCTTCAGAAGATAGCAACAGGCAGTATGCTCTCTGAATGGTGGATCTACACCTGGTCATGTGGGCGTAAAGGGTAATGAGCGAGCGGACCAACTGGCTAGCATTGCACTAAGTCATGTGGGAAGAAGCATGGACAGAGCAGATATCGTACATCTCTAGCCCGACTCAAACAGCAACATTACCTCTTTGTTTGTAGCCAAATATCAGGTCGACCCAGTTGTGGATCTGGCAGGAAACAAACTCAGATTCCAGGGCCTGATGATCAAAACAAAACATCAAAATGAGGTCAGGTCATACCAGGGTCTTCAGCCTGGTCAAGTCCAAACAAATATTCAGCTTTCTTTTATCGACTATAAATATATGCATATTAATACACATTTCTTTTATTTTATGACACCTTGTTGTTGCTTCTGTTTTTATGTCAAATGATTAACTTTGCTGTAGGATAATTATGTTTCATATACATCATTTGTGACTGTCTTTGAATGTGTGGTTAGGTATTTGTTGATAGAATATCTTGAGAGAGAGGTTGGCTTTTTGTCTGTGTCTTTACTTTCGTCAAAAAAAAAAAAAAAATCAGTCGTTCTTTTGGACTATCTAACCTGATGATGATGATGATGATAATGAAAAAACTGACATCATACAGTCTATAAATATAAAACCAACAGCCACATGTGGCTACTCACCATCTTGTTAATTCTCACAAACTCCTCAGGAGTCTTGGCCCATGGAGGCAGCTCCACGTGGCTGACCAGCTTGCCATCCTCCTGCTTGCCCAGGCTGTAGTTGTTGTTGTTGGTGAGCATCTCGGGCAGGCAGAAGAACTCTGGGATCAGCTCCTACACAGGGGTACATTAGTACAACAGGGGTACATTAGTACAACATTGGCACATTAGTACAACAGGGTCACATTAGTACAACAGGGGCACATTAGTACAAAATGGGCACATTAGTACAACTGGGGCACATTGGTACAACAAGGGCACATTAGTACAACAGGGGCACATTAGTACAACAAGGGCACATTAGTACAACAGAGGCACATTAGTACAAAATGGGCACATTAGTACAACTGGGGCACATTAGTACAACAGGGGCACATTGGTACAACAAGGGCACATTAGTACAACAGGGGCACATTAGTACAACAAGGGCACATTAGTACAACAGAGGCACATTAGTACAAAATGGGCACATTAGTACAACTGGGGCAGTTCTACAGAGAAAAGAGGAGGTTATGTTTCAGGTCAACCAAGTCAGGATGCATTAAAGATGTGGAGTGGAGTGTGGGTCTGAAAGGATGTGAAGTGGAGTGTGGGTCTGAAAGGATGTGGAGTGTGGGTCTGAAAGGAGGGACATCCTCGTGTGGGTTCCTGGGGTCCCATTGTGGGGAAAACAAGAGTAGATCCACAGCTTTTCTAAAAAGCATGTTGTAGGGGCCAACTAACTGGGGGCTTCCTTCGAAGTCACGGTGCATCTGCCTGAGAAGCAACGAACCAACAGTCTGCATAAAATAAGCCAGATCTGCAAAACAGATATGCACACAACATTCAGGTTCTGGAACATGACTGAAGTGTGTAGGTAGGCAAACAATCAAAACTTTTTGCTGGAGTTTATAGCCGGTGAATGCTAAGAAGAAAAAGAAGGAGGGACAAATGAGAGTGACAAATGAGAGGGACATATGAGAGGGACATATGAGAGGGACAAATGAGAGGGACATATGAGAGGAACGTGTGAGAGGGAAAAATGAGAGGGACAGTGTTTAAAACTAGTCAGCTACAGGAATCTCTAGTATCTACATTTGATGTCACTTGCTATGAGCATAGGAGCTCCAAATAGTATGTCACTTGCTATGAGCATAGGAGCTCCAAGGAGTATGTCACTTGCTATGAGCATAGGAGCTCCAAGGAGTATGTCACTTGCTATGAGCATAGGAGCTCCAAGGAGTATGTCACTTGCTATGAGCATAGGAGCTCCAAGGAGTATGTCACTTGCTATGAGCATAGGAGCTCCAAGGAGTATGTCATTGCTATGAGCATAGGAGCTCCAAGGAGTATGTCACTTGCTATCAGCATAGGAGCTCCAAGGAGTATGTCACTTGCTATGAGCATAGGAGCTCCAAGGAGTATGTCACTTGCTATGAGCATAGGAGCTCCAAGGAGTATGTCACTTGCTATGAGCATAGGAGCTCCAAGGAGTATGTCACTTGCTATGAGCATAGGAGCTCCAAGGGGTATGTCATTGTGTTATGTTGAAAAAATTTGTGTATGTGTGGAAAACCTGTTCAGGACCTTGCAAATCAGAGGGTCTCTCCAGGATCTCATAAGTCTTTTCTGATTGATCTTGTATGTTCAGAACTGTCCAGCCCAACCAGGTTATGTGCTGGTGCACATACAGGATCTGCCACTGCAGAAACATCACTGGCAAGTGATATGTCCTAACTGATTCTAGCTAAGGCTGGCATGTAATATGTTGGGTCTTTACTGATTCTAGCTAAGACTGGCATGTGATATGTTGGGTTTTAGCTGATTCTAGCTAAGGCTGGCTAGTGATATGTTGGGTTTTAGCTGATTCTAGCTAAGACTGGCATGTGATATGTTGGGTCTTAACTGATTCTAGCTAAGACTGGCATGTGATATGTTGGGTTTTAGCTGATTCTAGCTAAGACTGGCATGTGATATGTTGGGTTTTAGCTGATTCTAGCTAAGGCTGGCTAGTGATATGTTGGGTTTTAGCTGATTCTAGCTAAGACTGGCAAGTGATATGTTGGGTCTTAACTGATTCTAGCTAAGACTGGCATGTGATATGTTGGGTTTTAGCTGATTCTAGCTAAGACTGGCATGTGATATGTTGGGTTTTAGCTGATTCTAGCTAAGACTGGCATGTGATATGTTGGGTCTTAACTGATTCTAGCTAAGGCTGGCATGTGATATGTTGGGTTTTAGCTGATTCTAGCTAAGGCTGGCTAGTGATATGTTGGGTTTTAGCTGATTCTAGCTAAGACTGGCATGTGATATGTTGGGTTTTAGCTGATTCTAGCTAAGACTGGCATGTGATATGTTTGGTTTTAGCTGATTCTAGCTAAGGCTGGCTAGTGATATGTTGGGTTTTAGCTGATTCTAGCTAAGACTGGCATGTGATATGTTGGGTCTTAACTGATTCTAGCTAAGGCTGGCTAGTGATATGTTGGGTTTTAGCTGATTCTAGCTAAGACTGGCATGTGATATGTGGGGTTTTAGCTGATTCTAGCTAAGACTGGCATGTGATATGTTGGGTCTTAACTGATTCTAGCTAAGACTGGCATGTGATATGTTGGGTCTTAACTGATTCTAGCTAAGGCTGGCATGTGATATGTTGGGTCTTGACTGATTCTAGCTTGATCGCTAACTACAACTTGGGTGTGATATAAAAGGTAAAGTCAGGAGAGGTGAACCAGAATCATCGCACACGGTTATAAACCATAAGTGCTCTGCCACCAGTATGGACAGCTGATAATAAACTGTCCGCCCATGTTGCCGTCTGCACGTAACTCTATAGCTACAGCGAAGGTCCTCCATTCATCCCATAGTGTCAATTTTGGTACCCATTTCCTAGAGGCTGAGTGAACCCCGGAACTGCCCAATTTCAAAGACCGACCGTGGCTGCAGCGAGTCGCAGCTGGATTTGAAAGCGAGCCATCTAATCGACTGTGCTAACGTGAGTGTAACATGTTGGGTGTTAACTGATTCTGGCTCAACTACTAAGGCTGCAGTTTCCATCTCTCTTCCTTTCCTTACACAACATCCAGAAAGTTCTCTGACTTTATAAGTCTCTAGGCAGGAAAAGCCACCACCCCAATGGCGATTCAAACACATGTCCTTCAGACTGACAGGCAAAGAAAGCATTTCACATAATCACACCCTGATACATCAAACACAGAAGAATAAATAAAGACAAAACAAAATAAAGATTCAAACCTTGACATCTGAAGTATCACGCTGACAGTTCTTCCAGGCCTGGCTGATGGAGGCAAAGATTCGGTTGGGATGGTCAAACTTGCCACCTTGTAGGTTCAGGAACATGGTGGTGAAGGGTTCCTGTGGGAATCAACATCAATTCAGCTTCAGTCAGGCAAATGTTGCATCAACGGTAAACAATATCTCAGGTAATCACTGTAGCAACAACAGATAAGGTGAACTTCATAGTAAAAGGACAATAGATATACTGAGCTTATAAGGATAAGAATGATACTGGGCCACATAAAGATAAAAATACTAATTTATATGATAAGAATAATATGAACCACACAATGGTAAGAATTAACCCTACCAGACCGCTGGCTCGACTTTCTGGGAATTTCTTAACCTGACGCTTCACCGTTGGCCCTAATTTTCTGCTATTTGCGTAGTACCGGAAAAAGATGCATCAGGGACTAAAAATAACTAGCCAATCGTAATCAGATTTCATGGATAGTCTTCCTAGATGTCCGCCCACATATGTTTGGATGAAATTTGTGTTGTTTTACGTGAAAAAATTCAGAAAATTCACAATAGAACGAGCGGCTGATGAACCAAGCGCTTCAAAAAGAAAGAAAAGTAGGTCTAGGCTTTTTACAGTCCAACAGGTGATCGATACTTTGGTTTATTCAGACTCTGCAGAATCCTTATTTCATGAAGAATACGTTCACAGTTGAAGTGACACATCAGCTCGAATAATATGAGAATCTTGAAAATTATAAATCTAGAAATAGATGAATAGTAAGAGAAGGGGGCGTGTCCCTCAAACAGCAACATCTGGTGCTCACTTTGTAAAACAATCCTGATCCTCCTGAGTGGATTGGCAAACAAAGGTGGAATATTGGCACTAGATAAAAGAAAAGCCTTTTTTCTACAATGTCTCCAAGTTTCATCTTTTTCTAGCCACTTGTTTGCATGTAATTAATATTTGTGTATATCATGTTGGTTTTTTTCGCGTTAATGCCCAGGAGCTCAGGTATAGGGGACAGTTAGGTTCAGGGCCTCAGGTCTGGTAGGGTTAAAGATAAGAATACTGATTCATATAATGATAAGACTGATATAAACCATATTAGGATAAGAATAATATTTATCCACAGACAGATACTAATTATATTAGTTCACATAAGGGATAAGAATAAAATGTCATATTAGGATAAGAATGACAATGACCCATGTAATAATAATGCCATGTAATAATAAGAATGACAATGTGCCATGTAATAATAAGAATGACAATGTGCCATGTAATAATAAGAATGACAATGTGCCATGTAATAATAAGAATGACAATGTGCCATGTAATAATAAAGGTGACAATGTGCCATGTAATAATAAGAATGACAATGAGCCATGTAATAATAAGAATGACAATGAGCCATGTAATAATAAAGGTGACAATGTGCCATGTAATAATAAGAAGGACAATGAGCCATGTAATGATAAGAATAAGCCACATGAAGATAACAAGAAGAAGCTAGTGCACACAGTCAACTTACCACACGAATAAGCCAGTTCAAGGTAAAGGCCGCAGTGGAGTAGTGTGTGCCGTAGTGGAAGGGTGGAATCTGGTCATGCTCCCAGGTTGCAAAACGCTCCTCAAAGTAAGCTTTCCTGGTTTCATTGAGCGCTCCGATTGGCTGCAGATGTTCAACAAATCTGGTCAGACTTACTGGCCACAAACAGGCCTCGAGCAAACACTCTATCATTATCTGTTAAAACATCTATAAATGTTTTTATGGTAGAGATTAGACGCTCATAACCCTCGTGCTGCCAACCCAACTAACTTCACAAGATGATGACAAATCCATCTCCTACATGTAAACAAGATTTCCAATATAACTACAAAGACTTTCTGCCAGCTGTGATGCAACCAATGACTGGATACACTGGAAACATACTTTTATCACAATGTTAACAATATCTCACTGAATCATCACCATCGTACTAAACAAATTAACCCCCTTCAGTTATCAATCAGCTTCTTGAATTTATCACAACTACAATCTGCAGTCACCTCTTTCAGGTTAAAATCTCTTAATCCAGTGCATCTCCCATCAGCTGACAATCTTCCCTGTAGTTCATGATCTCTCCCATCAGCTGACAATCTCCCCTGTAGTTCATGATCTCTACCATCAGCTGACAATCTTCCATGTAGTTCATAATCTCTACCATCAGCTGACAATCTTCCCTGTAGTTCATAATCTCTTCCATCAGCTGACAATCTTCCCTGTAGTTCATGATCTCTCCCATCAGCTGACAATCTCCCCTGTAGTTCATGATCTCTACCATCAGCTGACAATCTTCCATGTAGTTCATAATCTCTACCATCAGCTGACAATCTTCCCTGTAGTTCATGATCTCTACCATCAGCTGACAATCTCCCATGTAGTTCATAATCTCTACCATCAGCTGACAATCTTCCCTGTAGTTCATAATCTCTTCCATCAGCTGACAATCTTCCCTGTAGTTCATAATCTCTTCCATCAGCTGACAATCTTCCCTGTAGTTCATGATCTCTACCATCAGCTGACAATCTTCCATGTAGTTCATAATCTCTTCCATCAGCTGACAATCTTCCATGTAGTTCATAATCTCTTCCATCAGCTGACAATCTTCCCTGTAGTTCATGATCTCTTCCATCAGCTGACAATCTTCCATGTAGTTCATAATCTCTTCCATCAGCTGACAATCTTCCCTGTAGTTCATGATCTCTTCCATCAGCTGACAATCTTCCCTGTAGTTCATGATCTCTACCATCAGCTGACAATCTTCCATGTAGTTCATAATCTCTTCCATCAGCTGACAATCTCCCATGTAGTTCATGATCTCTTCCATCAGCTGACAATCTCCCCTGTAGTTCATGATCTCTTCCATCATCTGATCGAGTAGAAGGAGGAGTCTCAGTCCAGTGCCAACCTGAAAGCCAGCTAGTTATGGGTCAATGACCTACCTTAGACAAGTCTCTGTAGGAGTTAGCACTGCTGAGATCTAGCTGTTCAGTGTCATAGTTGACCAAGACCCAAGGAAACACAGGGTACTGGTTTAAATCATTGTACGTGCGTCCTGCAAGGAGATCAACATAACTAGAATTATAAACATTCATTATCTGTGGCTTGTCCAGAACAGAAAGAACTTAATGGTTTGACAGAATCACTATTGCAACCCTAAAGGACAGAATCACTATTGCAACCCTAAAGGACAAAATCACTATTGCAGCCCTAAAGGACAGAATCACTATTGCAACCCTAAAGGACAGAATCACTATTGCAGCCCTAAAGGACAGAATCACTATTGCAACCCTAAAGGACAGAATCACTATTGCACTCTAAGGGACAGAATCACTATTGCAGCCCTAAAGGACAGAATCACTATTGCAGCCCTAAAGGACAGAATCACATATTGCAGCTCTAAGGGACAGAATCACTATTGCAGCCCTAAAGGACAGAATCACTATTGCAACCCTAAAGGACAGAATCACTATTGCAACCCTAAAGGACAGAATCACTATTGCAACTCTAAGGGACAGAATCACTATTGCAGCTCTAAAGGACAGAATCACTATTGCAGCTCTAAGGGACAGAATCACTATTGCAACCCTAAAGGACAGAATCACTATTGCAGCTCTAAAGGACAGAATCACTATTGCAGCCCTAAAGGACAGAATCACTATTGCAGCTCTAAAGGGACAGAATCACTGCATTAAGGGACAGAATCACTATTGCAACCCTAAAGGACAGAATCACTATTGCATTGCAACCCTAAAGGACAGAATCACTATTGCAACCCTAAAGAACAGAATCACTATTGCAGCTCTAAAGGACAGAATCACTATTGCAACCCTAAAGGACAGAATCACTATTGCAACCCTAAAGGACAGAATCACTATTGCAACCCTAAAGAACAGAATCACTATTGCAACCCTAAAGGACAGAATCACTATTGCAACCCTAAAGGACAGAATCACTATTGCAACCCTAAAGGACAGAATCACTATTGCAGCTCTAAAGGACAGAATCACTATTGCAGCTCTAAGGGACAGAATCACTATTGCAACCCTAAAGGACAGAATCACTATTGCAACCCTAAAGGACAGAATCACTATTGCAGCTCTAAAGGACAGAATCACTATTGCAGCTCTAAAGGACAGAATCACTATTGCAGCTCTAAAGGACAGAATCACTATTGCAACCCTAAAGAACAGAATCACTATTGCAACCCTAAAGGACAGAATCACTATTGCAACCCTAAAGGACAGAATCACTATTGCAACCCTAAAGGACAGAATCACTATTGCAGCTCTAAAGGACAGAAAATTGCAGCTCTAAGGGACAGAATCACTATTGCAACCCTAAAGGACCACTGCAACCCTAAAGGACAGAATCACTATTGCAGCTCTAAAGGACAGAATCACTATTGCAGCTCTAAAGGACAGAATCACTATTGCAGCTCTAAAGGACAGAATCACTATTGCAACCCTAAAGGACAGAATCACTATTGCAGCTCTAAAGGACAGAATCACTATTGCAGCTCTAAGGGACAGAATCACTATTGCAACCCTAAAGGACAGAATCACTATTGCAGCTCTAAGGGACAGAATCACTATTGCAGCCCTAAAGGACAGAATCACTATAACAGCCCTAAAGGACTGAATCACTATTGCAGCTCTAAAGGACAGAATCACTATTGCAACCCTAAAGAACAGAATCACTATTGCAGCCCTAAAGGACTGAATCACTATTGCAGCTCTAAAGGACAGAATCACTATTGCAGCTCTAAGGGACAGAATCACTATTGCAGCCCTAAAGGACAGAATCACTATTGCAGCTCTAAAGGACAGAATCACTATTGCAGCTCTAAAGGACAGAATCACTATTGCAGCCCTAAAGGACAGAATCACTATAACAGCCCTAAAGGACTGAATCACTATTGCAGCTCTAAAGGACAGAATCACTATTGCAACCCTAAAGGACAGAATCACTATAACAGCCCTTCTAAGGAGAGAAACAAACCAACTCTTGTGAATCCAGAAGTGAGGAAAAAGACAGCATTGGATAGGAAACTGGACAATGTGCTGTGTATCCTGAATGTTTGCTGTGAGCACAGACACATGGATACATATTTCTAGAGTGGATTGTTAACTGCCTGTTTGCAAACTGTAAAAACTTTTGCCAAATCTTCTCTCCCTGAAACTTTTTATAATACACCTGACACACTCAGTTTACATTGAAGCTACAGCGCTGACCCATTGAAGCTACAGCACTGACCCACTGAAGCTACAGTGCTGACCCACTGAAGCTACAGCTCTGACCTACTGTAGCTACAGCTCTGACGCACTCATTCTACAGCACTGACCCACTAAAACTACAGCATTAACCCACTGAAGCTACAGTGCTGACCCATTGAAGCTACAGCGCTGACCCACTGAAGCTACAGCGCTGACCCACTAATTCTACAGAACTGACCCACTCATTCTACAGCACTGACCCACTCATTCTACAGCACTGACCCACTGAAGCCACAGCTCTAACCCACTGAAGCTACAGCTCTAACCCACTGAACACTGAAGCTACAGCTCTGACACCACTAAAGCTACAGCACTGACCCACTCATTCTACAGCTTTGACTCACTGAAGCTACAGCTCTGACCCACTCATTCTACAGCGCGGACAAACTGAAGCTACAGCTCTGACCCACTGAAGCTACAGCACTGACCCACTGAAGCTACAGCACTGACTCACTCATTCTACAGCGCTGACCCACTGAAGCTACAGCTTTGACTCACTCATGCTACAGCGCTGACCCACTGAAGCTACAGCTCTGACCCACTGAAGCCACAGCTCTGACCCACTCATTCTACAGCGCTGACCCACTGAAGCCACAGCTCTGACTCACTCATTCTACAGCTCTGACTCACTCATTCTACAGCTATGACCCACTCATTCTACAGCGCTGACCCACTCATTCTACAGCGCTGACCCACTCATTCTACAGCGCTGACCCACTGAAGCTACAGCGCTGACCCACTCATTCTACAGCGCTGACCCACTCATTCTACAGCGCTGACCCACTCATTCTACAGCGCTGACCCACTGAAGCTACAGCGCTGACCCACTCATTCTACAGCTCTGACCCACTCATCCTACAGCTCTGACCCACTCATCCTACAGCCCTGACCCACTCATCCTACAGCTCTGACCCACTCATTCTACAGCAAAACGTTTTCGGGAGCTCGCAGAAGACAATAGGAGATAGCTCTGTACAGCTAATCAACTTATTCATGGATCCGAGTGACGGATGAGAGATAATTATCCTGTGGATAAGACAACCATTTCACCATGCGAGGACAGGCATTGTCTAGCTCATCTAGCCAGTCACCAACAATCAAAAGTGTTGTATAAAGATCAGGTGCCACAACTGTAAATAGCAAGTTATCCATTACAAAACAGTTATCTCCCTTATCAGGCCAGCCTTGTCACACAACTGTTGCCTGCCTGTGAGCGGCCGGCCAGCCCACAGAGATCGTGTGTGAGTTAGAGGACTCGGCAAATATCAGGGAGCTGATTGCTGCCTCGAAGAGATCAGGCTTATCTTAACACAACTCTGTCACAACTGTTGAGTCTGGTTAAACATTGCATACACCAACAAATGGTGGACACATCTCCAAGAAACAAACACTCGCACGTTTTTATCGCCAATGTCCACACTTATTATGAGATTAGGTTAAACGGCTTGGCAGCAGGTAACAGTCGGCGCAGGTCTCCCTCCAGTGACTGCTAGCAGCTGTCATCATTACAACAACATCACTTGTCAGCCAGCATTTCTCCATCTCGGGATGTTTTATCTGGGGTGGAGCCAGACCTTCATGCTTTCCCGGAGTGCCCTGGGGTTACGGGAGAGGTGGTCTGGGGTCACGGGAGAGGTGGCCTGGGGTCACGGGAGAGGTGGCCTGGGGTCACGGGAGAGGTGGCCTGGGATCACGGGAGAGGTGGCCTGGGATCACGGGAGAGGTGGCCTGGGGTCACGGGAGAGGTGACCTGGGGTCACGGGAGAGGTGGCCTGGGGTTATGGGAGAGGTGGCCTGGGATCACGAGAGAGGTGGCCTGGGGTCACGGGAGAGGTGGCCTGGGGTTACGGGAGAGGTGGCCTGGGGTTATGGGAGAGGTGGCCTGGGGTTATGGGAGAGGTGGCCTGCGGTTATGGGAGAGGTGGCCTGGGGTCACGGGAGAAGTGGCTTGGGGTCACGAGAGAGGTGACCTGGGGTTATGGGAGAGGTGGCCTGGGGTTATGGGAGAGGTGGCCTGGGGTTATGGGAGAGGTGGCCTGGGGTTATGGGAGATGTGGCCTGGGGTTATGGGAGAGGTGGCCTGGGGTTATGGGAGAGGTGGCCTGCGGTTATGGGAGAGGTGGCCTGGGGTTACGGGAGAGGTGGCCTGGGGTTACGGGAGAGGTGGCCTGGGGTTATGGGAGAGGTGGCCTGGGGTCACGGGAGAGGTGGCCTGGGGTTATGGGAGATGTGGCCTAGGGTTATGGGAGAGGTGGCCTGGGGTTATGGGAGAGGTGGCCTCGGGTTACGGGAGAGGTGGCTTGGGGTCACGAGAGAGGTGGCCTGGGGTTACATGAGAGGCGGAACAAGAACCAGATGTCAAAAGAGCAAAATGTTGAGTCTGCTTGCCCGCGCCGACACATTAGCGCCCAGACCTGTCTCTAGTGTCTATCACGTTACCCATTGGCTTAATGGCAGCAGAAGTGGCGCAGTCGTTAGCATTCAACTGGTCATTGTTGAAAGTTCTACCCTTGAAAAGGAGAACTCACTGGTGGGCGCTCGAAATGTATCCCTCTTTTCCAGATAAAATTTCGGGCAACATTTTCAGGGAAAAACAAATTGTTCTTCACAACAGACATTCGCAGCACTGGAGAGCGTATTGAGCTGTACCAGAACTTGTTGTCGAAAACAAAGGCAGCTGTGTTATACTGATGACATCGCCATCGACTGGTTCCCAAATATACAGATCAGAAAAGTACCATAAACTCAACAGGCTTAACGGCGTGGTCAAGTAACCTGT